CTTGTATGTCAATCCCAGATTCCTCCCCTCCTCCCACACCCCCCCATCCTCCCAGCCTATTGCCAATTCCTTCTGCATAGGGGATATCTAGAGTCTATCATTTCATTCAGGGTAGGGTCCAGGCACTTCCCTAAGAGTCCAGGCAGAACGAGCAAACCTCTTTGTGTTTTGGACACACGATGTCTGTTAGTATTTGAGGGATAAACACTGATCCACTGCTCAGGACCCCATAGGTAGCCCAGGCCTCCTCACTGACTCTCACATTCAGGGGGTCTGGATCAGTCCCATGCTGGCCTCCCAGCTGTCGGTCTGGGGTCCAAGAGCTCTCCCCTGTTCAGATCAGCTGTCTCTGCTGGTTTTGCCAGCCCATTCTTTGCCAATTTGCTCTTCGCTCCTCTCTCTCTGTTACTGCATTGCTTGGGTTCTGTTCAGTATTTAACTGTGGGTGTTTGCCTCTGCTTCCATCACTCACTGAATGAAGGCTCCAGGATGGTTATAGATATCAAGTTCACTATCAGGAATAGGCATTCGAGGTGGTCTCTACACTATTGCTTAGCTTGCCAATTGGTGTCATCCCTTTAGATCACTAGAGGTCACAATGGTGCCTGATCTGTCTTCTAACCTATGATTCCCGCTTCCCCCTATCCTACCCCCCCCAGTCGACCTTCCTGTTCCTCCAAGGCCTACTCTGTCTTCCATTTCTCCCCCTCTCTATTTCCCAGGTCCCCCTCCCCCCCACCCCTCGCTGTGTTCCCCATCTGTTCAGAGGATCTTGCCTCATTTCTCTTCTCTTGGGTACCATGTATATCTTTTAGGTTCTTTCCTGTTTCCCAGACTCTCTGTCTTTTTTTAAGATTTATTTTTTACTATGTACACAGAGTCCTTCCTGCATGTATGCCTGCAGACCAGAAGAGGGTGCCAGATCTCATTATAGATGGTTGTGAGCCACCATGTGGTTGCTGGGAGTTGAACTCAAGACCTCTTGAAGAATAGTCAGTGCTCTTAATGTCTGAGCCATCTCTCCAGCCCTGGGAACAGGACTTTTAAATGATTTTTATTAGCTGTCTTTGTAAAGCTGTAACCATAATCTGTAAGTTTTGATTGGTTAGATACATAAGTAACAATTTTGTTGTTGTTTAGGAAGAAGCTGTCCCCAAAACTTTGCTGGAAAACCTTTTAAAATGTGTGCAGTGCTGCCCTATCTTGAAAAGTGGCATGTGACTTACACAGTTTACTCTCCATGTGCTTCGTGCAAGTGCATCAGCTTGCATGGACCAGTCAAATAAAAACACAGATATGAAATCCTTTCTAACATTTTGGTTTTGGTTTTATGTTATTCTTATAAAAGTACCAGAATAATATATTTCTTTCTGGAAATACAGAGTAAGGAATCGTGTTTAATTTATTCTTAGCTCAGAAAATAATTTTGATTATATTACTAAATACCTAAAATACATTTTTAAAGATTTATTTATATATTATGTATGCAGTGTTTTGTCAGAAAGGGACACCACGCCAGGTGTTGGTGGAGCACAACTTATATCCCAGCACTCGGGAGGCAGAGTCCGGCAGATCTCTGTGAGTTCGAGGTCAGCCTGATCTACAGAATGAGTTCTAGGACATTCCCCAAAGCCATCAAGAACAGGCTGCTGTTAAGCATGTCGTATATGGACTAGATCTTGATCATAAACTCCATGACACTGGCCTATGATAAATGTATAAGGTAAGGATAAAGTATAGATATTAATAGTAATTGTAATTGAACATTGCTACAACATTTAACCGCCTTTAAGTTGTAGTCTATGAGAGTATAGTTCTGTAAAGCATTAGAAATTTAAAGAAGACAAAATTCAGATCTCTGGCTCTGTAGTTGTGAATCCTCTTTTTTGTGTACAATCTTGAATTTAAGCATATATATATATATATATATACATATATATAAGCAGATGTGTCTAGAAGTTATAAAAATGTACATTTCTGTATGAGTTATATTAGTGTGCATTATCCTAAAATTGTTGATTTATCTTATAGCATATTGCTTGCAGACAGTTACTGAAGATAACCCAGAGATCCTAAAGTATTTGGATGGCACAGCACTGCATGTGCTGGAGTCTGCTTTGCTTTGTCCTGTTACCTCTATGGAATATATTCTGCTAAAGACACTGGTAGCAGGTAAGGTTCATCCAAATGTCTAGTAACTTGTAATGGATAGAAGTGGGGGACAAGATTTACTCTTCCTTCATTTTACAGTGCCAGCTCTGTGCTCTGTCTGGTCTGATAAACCTTAGTATCAGAGCAGAGACCTTTTTGGGGGCAGGGGTTTTCAAGGCAGGGTTTCTCTGTGTAGCTCTGGCTGTCCTGTAAGGCTGGCTTCCAACTTACAGAGATCCTCTTGGCTCTGCCTCCTGGGTGCTGGGATTAAAGGTGGGCACCACTATGCCCAGCGAGCAGAGACCTTCAACTGACATGGTTTCCCATAGTTATGAAGCCTTCTAGAATACATGTTTGCATTTATAAAAAATTGTTTCTTTTGGATTTTTTTGTTTGCTTTTTCAAGACAGGATTTCTCTGTAGCCCGGGCTATTTTGAAATTTGATCTGTAGACCAGACTGACCTCAGACTTTGAGGTCTGTTTGCCTTTGCCTCCAGAGAGCTAGGATTAAAGGTGTGCACCACCACTGCCCTGCTTATCTTTTTTTATTAATATAGGTGTGTATGGTTGTGTGAACTTACCCCACATGGTATAATACAAAGCATGCTGTTGCATAGCCAAATTTCAAGATCTCTTCATCCTCCAAAATGAGACTTTATTCTCTAAATAAGAACCTTTCCTAACTCTGCTCCCCCTCCTTGGTTTTCTGAGCATTTAGACAAGGCATTTGTTGGTGGGATTTTATTTTTTGTTTGTTTGAGACAGTGTCACTATGTAGTTCTGGCTGCCCTGGAACTTATATGTAGACTGGACTGGGCTCAAGCTTACCAAGATGCATCCACCTCTGCTTCCTGAGTATTGGGATTAGAGGTGTGTGCTACCATGCCTTGCTCATTAGTTTCATTTTAAATGAATGTAAACATTCTGGAAAAGTTATGGTAATGCATCGTAAGACATATATACATACATTTGTTTGTTTATTTTTGTTTTTTTGTTTTCTGAGGCAAGGTTTCTCTATAGCTTTGGAGCCTGTCCTGGAACTCTGTATCCCAAGTGCTCGGACTAAAGGTGTGTGCCGTCACTACTCAACTTAGATACATTCTTAACTTTGGACCTAGTATGAGGAAATGAGATATACATACATACATACATACATACATGCTTACATACATACATACATACACACATACATACATACATACATACATACACACATACACACATACATACATACATACATGCTTACATACATACATACACACACACATACATGCTTACATACATACATACACACACACA